CCAGTCACTGGAGGCAGGAAAGAGTTTTCCAGCTGATGGCAGAAGACTGTTTAGGGGGAGCAGCCTGGACATGACCTGGTCCACGTCAGACTCACCTGTCAGACATGTTGAGCACCAAAAGGTTGATGTTAGAAATCTAAAACTGACCCCAGTGGGAGTCCAGCTCTGGCCTTTTTGTGGCTTAAACAACAGTTTTTATTTATGGATTCAGAATCCTCAATAAGCTCTAAACTCTCTCCAGCATCGTACAAATCAGCTCAACAGTATCTGAAGTATTCTACATACAGGTGATGCTCACTAATGCTGTTTACTCAAATGTCCAACATTTACACTTGCTGTGCATTTCAAACCTTTCTGGGTTCATAACAGGCAACATGAGCTGGAAAACAGCCCATAATACTGTTTATTTTCTCCTTTCCACCTCCTGTTACAGTCTTCTATCTCAACCTGCTCATTCTTTACCACCAGCTTCCACTGCTTTCTGCTCATTAATCACCTGGATTCTGGTCATTAATCAGCTCGTTTCAGAGCGACTCAGAACACGGACATCTTTCACCAAAGCCACAGTTTGTCATGTTCAATGACTCAGTACCAGGAAAAGATGTGTTTGAGTTCAGCGTTTATTGCAGCACAGTCACAGAACAGCTTCTTCCTGGACTGTGAGGATGTTTGAAAACTTTATTATTCTGAGCAACAGAACATCAACAGTTCAGGTAAGAACGTTTCACATCCACCAGGTGGAAAAGTGTTGAATATTTAACAGGACTGAAGCAAAAAAAACCCAAACATCCGACATTCGTGTATCAGGTGTGTTTTCATGTGCAGACAGGTGTGTCAGGTGAACTTTTCTTTACTGATGGAGTCGCTGAGTTCAGTCACTCCTCCGGCCGGTGGCGGCGGCAGGTGGAAGCCTCCGTACCTGCTGCTCGGCCAGCCCTGATTGGACGGTTGGTACTGTGACGTGAGAAGCTGCTGCTGAGCGAACAGCTTCTTCTGGTTGTTTCTCCTCCTGTTGCACAGCAGGTAGAGAATCTCGATGATGTTGAGCAGCACAGAGATCCCTGAAACTACCAGCATGAAAATGATGAAGACGGTCTTTTCCGTGGGTCTGGAGATGTAACACAGCGCACCGGAGAACCGGGCGCAGGGCGGCGATATGGCGCAGTGGAAGAAGGACTCCATGAACACCGAACCGAAGATGTAGAACTGGCCGACGCTGAAGCCCACCTCCAGCAGGATCTTGAAGAGCAGCTGGATCATGTATGTGCAGAACAGGATGCCTTTAATCTTCACCTTCCCTCTGTCGTCGGTGTAGCGGCTTTTCTTTTCTCCGTCCTGCTGCTTCAGCCTCTTCTCTTTGTGGATGACGTGCATGGCGTGGCCCAGGTAGACCAGGGTGGGCGTGGACACGAAGGTGATCTGCAGCACCCAGTAGTGAACGTAGGAGATGGGGAACTTCCAGTTGTAGCAGGCGTGTTCGCATCCTGGTTCCAGAGAGTCGCAGGAGAACTCGGACAGCTCGTCTCCCCAAACTTTATCTGCAGCAGCACCGAGGACGAAGATCCTGAAGAGGAACAGGACGCTCATCCAGATCTTCCCCACCACCGTGGAGTGGGACTGGACCTTGTCGAGCAGCGAGGACAGGTAGGACCAGTCGCCCATGTCTGAACATGCGGAGACAGAGCTGAGATTCTGCTGGTTCTGGTGTTCAGGGTCTGCAGAGGCCTGGACAAGGACTGGAGGGAAATAATGAAACACATCAGAGGTATGTCTCAAAAATCAGTATATATATTTATGTTGATCAGTTTATTTAAAAGGGGGCTTGTTAATGTTAAACATGAATGTTGCCATTTGATGCAGCAGAATCCGCTTTAAGCTCATTTTATATGAAACATAAATAAATCTGAGATAAATCAACATCAAGACATTCTTCAGAAATATCAACACAAAATCTGTTAGAAAGGTTCAATAAAAGTCTAACAGTTATAAAAATACAAACAGAATTTGAAACGTTGAAATGTTGTAAAATGACCCCAGATTGTCAAAAACTGTTTAAACATCAAAGATCAAAACCCAAAAAAATCCAAAATATATTTAAAAAACTAATTGAAGAATGTAAAAAAACCCTCAGATGAACCCGCTGGTTGAACCTCTGTGTTGTATTTTAAGCTTGTTCTGTAATCCATATTCTGTCAGACAGACGTTGTGGAGGAGGAGGAGAAAGTAGCACAACACAGAAATACTCCAGTAAAAGTACCTCAGCATGGTACTGGAGTGAAACCTGAAGCCCCAAACCAAGACCCTCAGCTGCTCCGAACAGACGGATCACTGCTGCTCTGCATCCTCTAACCCAAACCCTTCAATAACGCTTCATTCACGTCTTCTTTTTACACCGTCAGACATCAAACCTACAACCAGCAGCTGCCCTGATGGGACTTGGTGAGATAACAGGAGAAATCGTGGGTTTTTGTTTCAAGCTGTGGTTTTATGAGTCTGATATTTACAGACAGAGCGGAGCCTCGTTGTAGAGTTACTACAGATCAACAACACAGAAGACGAGCTGAGGTGGTACCAGGCAGGTAAACGGATCCACCTGTTCAGCATGTGTGAAGATGGCAGAAGGTGAAATGTACTCGCCTGTCAGGGGTTCTGCTCCATGAGTCCAACAGAAGAACCGGACGTCACTCTGCTCTTAAATACTGTCGAGGGTTTGGTCGCTGACTCACTCCGTTCATGAAATCTGCTGATCACAGCTTCTCCTTTCAAACTCGTGATGGTTCGATGAGTTTCATCAGTTTCTGTAAAAGGCGTCTAAGTGAGTTTATCACCGTATTTTACTCCCGTTATCTCCCACTTCAACTCATTTTTGTGCCATTAGACCCGACGGTGAGTTTTCACCGACACACCCTGTTTACAAGAAGCATTTTCATCTGAGTCCGTCTGAAGGGCGGCGTGAAGTTGCAACATGTTGTTCGGTTTCAAGGAAGAACAAACCATCAGCAGTTCTGGCAAAACACATCAGACTGTTGTCATGGACAGACGGCGTTCTAGACGGAACACCTTCAGATAAAAACCACACGTTCTCCTGATTGTGTCTGTTAGAGGGTCATTAGTATATGTATGGTACAGATCTAGGAGCATGAGGAGAGTCTGCTGTGAACCAGCGCTGATCTGTACCTGCTGAATAAACTACCTGCTGTACTTCCACAGCATCATCCTGTAGAACCGGCTTTCATCTAGAACCTCCACAGAACTTCCTCGTCCTGAGGAGGAACAAACAGCAGCCAGAGGAACCCTCCTGGAACTCCTAGCTGGAGGAAACACGGACTCGGAAAGTGTTAATGTGGCCAGCCAATCAATCAATCAATCAATCAATCAATCAATCAATCAATCAATCAATCAATCAATCAATCAATCAATCAATCAATCAATCAGCTGTTTAGTCTCTAAAATGTTAAAAACAGTGGATCAGAGTTCCTCAAACGTCTTGTTTAGTCCAAAGATCTTCAGTTTACTGTCAGAGAGGAAAGAAACCAGAAACTACTCACACTAAAGAAGCTGTGATTGATTGACTGATTGATTGATTGATTGATTGATTGATTGATTGATTGTGGCTCTAATGACTCATTGATGACATAACAATGAATGTTTTATGTAGCAGCAGGTTGTTTTCATCTCTGCAGGGTGTTTGTATTAAAGCCTGCACGGTGGATCAGTGGTTAGCACCGTGGCCTCACAGCTAGAAGGTCGCCGGTTGGCGTCCCGGTGAGGACACCCGGGATCTTCCTGCGTGGAGTCTCCATGTTCTCCCCGTGCAGCGTGGGTTCTCTCCGGGTTCTCCGGCTTCCTCCCACAGTCCAGAAACATGCTGAGGTTAATTGGTGATTGTAAATTGTCCGTAGGTGTGAATGTGAGTGTGCTTGGTTGTCTGTCTCTAAGTGTAGCCCTGTGATAGACTGGTTACCTGTCCAGGTGAACCTGCCTTCACCCTGAGTCAGCTGGGATAGGCTCCGCCCCCCATGACCCTGGTGAAGATGAAGGTGTAGAGATGATGGATGGATGTCCCAGACATCAGGACATGAGCTTCATGAAGATAATAATTCTAATACCAAACCCTGAAATACTGAATCTTAGTGTCAATCAGATCAATCAGCAATTCACTGGGAGAAGTTGTTTCAAAACCAGACCAAAGTAGTCCAACAGAGGTCGAAAACTAAATCCAAAACCAGTCTAAACCAGTTTAAAGCCAACTATGACCAAAGTGGCTTCGCCATCAGTTCAGCAGAGCTTTAAGCTCTCATCCAGTCTGAACGTTCTGTAGACGTTCTGTCAACAAGGAAAGTAGCTGCAGAGACCAGAACGACTTCAGTTCCAGTAAACATGTTTATTTCTGCTGTTCCGTCATCTTTTTGTTGGAGCTTCAGGTGACCGTTGGAGCAGCTTCAGGAGATGTTTCAGAGGCTGCAGCTGCTTGTTGAACAGGGTCTCTGTCTTCTGACATCAGATCAGGAGATGACGAGTTAAGGTTCCTGAAAAGAGAGTTAAGGTCGTGTTTTATCAGGACAGAACTGTGCTGGTTCCCCAAACAAAGTTTCATTTAAACCAGCCGACCAGAACACAGATCTGGGCCCTTTGACCGACTGACCGCTGGTCTGATCCGGTCCTGGTGAGTAACTCGGAGCCTCCTGCAGCCGTCATTTGACCACACTGGGAGTCACGTCGAGCCGTTCTGTGGGAGGGTCAGAATGTGAAGGTTTGGCAATCATCCGGACTTATAAGAGGGAAGTGAGAGCCCAGTGAGTGCAGGAGCGACTGAACGAGGCTGCTTCACTGAGGTAGGAACCCAACACTGACAGCACCAGCTTCTCATCTGTGAAAACAGAATTTATTGATCTGTTTGAATATCAAATGTTTTCACATGAATAAATGTCTCCAGATGGATAAATGTGGTTTACTATTTCAGACTTTCTAATCGACATGACTCTGTAGACAATAAATGCAAATTAAGAAACATGAACAAACGCTGCAGCAGCATCCAGACTCACTGAGAGCTGCTGAGGTTTCACTGTATTAACAAAACTGACTGATTTGTACTTAGTGTGTTTGTCAGCAGAGTGTGTGAGCGTAAAATCACTCTCATGCTGTTTATAATGCACCATTCAGGGCCACATGTAGACAGTTCAGCATTATTTTCATGACTGATTTTCAAAATCATAATAAATGCAATGGGAGTAATGTGACCTTTGAGTTAGTTGTTGTTGACATAATTCCTCAACTTTGCTTCTGACAGCTGATTATTGTCTTCACGAAAAGATTAGTTCAGTAAAAACATCAAGATGTTTCCAGTGTTTTAGGATTTCTCAGGAACGTCTGCTGACAAATTGTTCCAAACTTAACCAGAAGAATTCCTCAATGTCAGCGTTTCTTTTCCTTGTTTTTTAAGACAACTTTAACTTTATTTTCTGTCATCTGTGACGGAGTGAACAGATTTATAACTTCCCTCTTTAACTCTGAATGTAACAGAAAAGCAGCTCTAATGAAAAACTTTCAGGTTTTATGAACAGTTTTGACTCTTGAAGCTTTCACACCTGAGGATGCTGCTTCTATGTCAACAGGTGTGTTTTTTAAGCTGCATTATCTGAAATGCTGCTCTGGGATTGGTGCGTTCCATAGCTTCTATCATAGCATCTATTATAGTTTATGCTATAGTTTATACTATAGTTTATTATAGTTGATACTATAGTTTATATTGTAGTTTATATTATAGTTTACATCATAGTTTACATCATAGTTTACATCATAGTTTATACTCGTGCTGATTGGTTGCAGCTCCTGTTTCCAGTCTCTGTGTTCCTGAGAAGTCGAAGCACCAAAACATCGCTGATGAACATATTTCTTCTCATGAAGGCTTCTTCCTCCCTGATTGTAGCTGCAGCTCTTTGACTCCAACAGAGTCTCTGCACATCCTGGACCAAACTTTGGCTTCCTGGAGACTCTTTCAGTCTAACTCTCTGCTCTGAGGCTGAACTTACTGGACGCTCAGTCCTGGACAAACTGCTGGAAATCTGCAGTTTGGGGATGTTTGTAAATCCAGACTCTTTGTTCTAAAGTTCTCAGAGCTCTTCAGATTTTAGCAGGACACTTGAGCAGCACAGAGAAGAGCAGAGGTTTAAATAAGAAGGTTCCACTACCACTGCCTGATGAGGTTCTAACCACTGGAACCTCATCTGGAACCCGGTTCCACTCTGGTTCTGCTCTGATGTGGACGTGATAAATGTGACCCTGAGCTGTCGTCTGTTTCTTTAGGTTCTCTTTCAAAGCAGTTGTCCTCCAACATCTCGGCTTCTGTTCAGAGATTACTTTTTTGTTATTTGGGACTCAAAACAAAGTTCTGCTTTTATCTGAATTTTGAGAATTTCATGTTTTGAGTCCTGTAAATATCTATATTTTCACCCTCAAAAATCACCTGTGAATTAATTTTCAGGGTTCAATATCTCCAGAAATAAAACTCAATGAACCATAAAACGTGGTCAGTCAGACAGAACAGGCTGGATGGATCCAGCAGAGGTTCAGGGCTCATCATCGTGTTCCTCTAAGTGTTCATAAACCAATGGAACAACACAAAACTGATGATGATTCAACACACATCACAAGAAATCTCATGTTTATTAAAAGAGTTGTGATAACGAGCAGCAGCAACCTGTAACCACCCAAAGTGTTGCTTTCTGTTGTGTACTGATTGTTGGTTGTGGTCTCTCCTGGAGGTCCATCATGGGGGAGTGGTCCTTCCTGTCGGATCTGCTCGATAAGGTCCAGTCCCACTCCACGGTGGTTGGGAAGGTCTGGATGAGCGTTTTGTTTCTCTTCAGGATCTTCATCCTGGCTGCTGGTGTGGATACGATTTGGGGAGACGAACAGTCCAACATGTACTGTAACACCAAGACTCCCGGCTGTAAAAACATGTGCTACGATCAGTCCTTCCCTCTGTCTCACACTCGGTTCTGGGTGCTTCAGATCCTGGTTGTGTCCACACCGACGCTGGTCTATCTGGGCCACGTTCTGCTGGTGATCCGCAGAGAGAACAAGCTGAGGAGACGCCTGGAGCAGAAACGAGGGAAGAATGGCATGATCATAACTCCAAAGTATTCGGACGAACGCGGCAAAGTGCAGCTGAAGGGCATCCTCCTGCTCAGCTACATAATCCAGCTGGTGTCCAAGGTTCTGTTCGAAGTGGCCTTCATCGTGGGCCAGTACTTCCTGTATGGCTTCATCTTCATGCCCAATAAGATCTCATGTTCCGAGTACCCCTGTCGCACTCCAGTGGACTGCTTCATCACCCGACCCACTGAAAAAACCATCTTCATCGTCTTTATGCTCTCCATGGCTGTGCTCTCTGTGGTCCTCAACGTGGTGGAGATGTTCCACCTGATAGTGTCCAAGACGCAGGAGAGGAAGAGGAGGAGCAGCGGCTGTCCTCCTCCAGAGATCTACAGTCTGAAGAGCCTCAGTCCGTCTGAGGCCGTCCCAGCCTGCTGAAGGTTTCCTCCTGCCAGGATCCATCATGCAGCGCTTCCCTTTCACCGTCTATGTGAGCAGCCCTGCAATGCATTCTGGGAGTCTCACTGTGTCCTCAGCGCCCCCCCCATCAGTCCAGTTTGATTCCAGGAGCAGACAGAACGCAGGTCACGTGTTCGTCCAATCAGGTGCAGCAGGAGGGCGGAGCCTGTCGGAGAACACCTGTGGTTCCGCCTGGTTCTGCTTTGGTAACATTTTAGGTTATTTTAAGTCCAAAAGTCAAAAGTAAGAATTGAGGTAGGAGTAGGAGAATGTTTTCTTGGTGACATCATTGTTAGACCACCACACCCTGATGTTCTCAGAATGTTTCCTGAATGTTTCATCTAATTGTCTTTCCTTTGTTATCATGTAACATTGTGGAGCATTGTGGCAACGTTAAAGGAACGTTTTCTAATCTGGGCTCACAACAACATCCCCAAAACTGTTCCACCTTTGCTGATGTGTTTTAAACATTACAGTAAAACTTCACAACATAACTACAACTTGTCTGTAACGTTGGCCAACGTTGTGGGAACGTTCCCTGTCAGTTGGTTCAGCCTGAACCAGTTCTCACAGTGACTCCCAGTGTTCATTGGACATCATCAGCAGGATGCATAAAGTGTGAAAACGGTGTGAAGCTGCTCAGGTTTCCCTCTTTACAAATAACAGTTAGCTGCTTTAAACCTGTTCAATCCTCCACTTGTTTAGCTTCAGACTGCTCACAGTGTGTCCATGTGAATGTTCTGCCTGCATCCGTTTCATTTGTGGATAATGTCTGACTGTTAATGGAATAAAACTCTGAGATGAACCCTCTGAGCCTCATAAAGAAACTGTGGCTTCACTTCCACCCACAGCAAAGAAGATTTAAACAGCAACACGTCAGCTGTCATGTTGAAACTCCTGAAAATAAGGAAGTGTGAGTTCAGTTTGTCCACGTCATCAGATACTGCCGTAAGCATTTCACAGTCAGGAGAGAACCGACCAGAACCGGCCGAGTCTGTAGAAGTCATAGAGATGACTTTTACACACAGGAGATGTGGGTTCTCCTCCACTGCTGAGATACACAGAACCACCGCTGGTATGACTGCAGCAGTCACACTGAGCACCTGAACAGGTGATGAGCTGCAGGTGGATGTTCGCTGGCGGCTCTTCTGGTTTTTATAACTGAAGCAGCTTCAGCTCAGCAGGGAGCAAAATCCTGAATAAACCCTGAAGAACCAGACAGTGGAAACGTGTTTAAGGCTTTAGAGAAGCTGACAAATTAAACGTCAGAACAGTCCGACGCCACGCCCACTTTGTGACATCATACACACGTTTTTACAACTCAACCAATCTAATCATTTGCCCAATAGCGGCGGTTCGGTCCGTGTGTTCCGGTTGGAACCAGCAGGCGGCGCTACCGCGGCGGGTCGCTGTTTTACCACCAATAAAGCTGCAGAAGAAGAAGAACCAGGAAGCGGTCGAAAGGCCCGGGAAAGACGGAACCGGAGGACTGAGGAGCTGTGTCTGCGGTTCGAACGGGTTCTGTGGTTCTCCCAGACGGTAAGAGAACCTGGTACCGGAACCACCTGACAACAGCTTTAAACGCCTGATTGAAGTGTTTGTGAAGAAAGCTGCCGTTAGTTTAAAGAGTTTCTGCTTTTACAGCTGATCGATAACTCTGATCAGAACAACAGAAGCTGATCGATAACTCTGATCAGAACAACACGAAGCAGTTAAATGACATTAAACTATGAGACAACATCAGTGATCAGAGTTTATGCCGGAGATGCAGATTATTGATCAGCTGATTGGAGATGCAGATTATTGATCAGCTGATTGGAGATGCAGATTATTGATCAGCTGATTGGATATGCAGATTATTGATCAGCTGATTGGAGATGCAGGTTATTGATCAGCTGATTGGATATGCAGATTATTGATCAGTTGATTGGAGATGCAGGTTATTGATCAGCTGATTGGAGATGCAGATTACTGATCAGCTGATTGGAGATGCAGATTATTGATCAGCTGATTGTCTAAACGTGGTCCAGAGATGTTCAGTTTACCGTCAGAGAGGAAAGGAACCAGAACACATTCACTGAAGGAGCTGAAACCAGAGTTTCCACTGTTTGTACTTCAAACTGTTGGAACCGATCAATGACTGTCTGAATGACTGTCATCATGACCAGCTGATCCATTGATCGCTGCAGCTCCTGTGAAGTGACGACAAGGCGCCTCAGAACACTGATCACTAATTAACTGATTAATCACAAAGTGTAGAGATGTAAACATTCTGTCAGACGTGTTTCTACAGAATCTTCACGTACCAGTCGGACGGAGCTTCACGATGCTGATTGGTCCGGAGCAGGAGGCTCTGATTGGCCGAGTGTTTGAGTCCTACCTGACAGAGCATCACCATGGCGACCTGCTCCAGCTGTCTGCAGGCTCTGATGAGGACGCCCACCGTCCTGTGGTGGTCAACGCCATGACGCTGTTCGAAACCAACATGGAGGTAGCGGCCCTACACGTGCACCATGAAGCAGGTTTAACCGAGCCTGGATCCGGTTCTGTTGTCTGGATTCACTGAACCAAACAACCACAGTTAGCACTCAGGAGGTCCACCAGGGCTGTGGAGCTGCTCTGAGCCGCTCACACAGATGACCAGTCACAAACATGGACGGCTGTAGAGCTGCATGTGTTTTATCACCAGAAGAACAACGATCTAGTCCAGACTGAAGGGAGCTGAGCTGCTGCAGCCGAGTCAGGAAGGAAACAATCAGAATATTTAGTGTCAACATCGGTCACGTTGTGTAAAGCAGCTCAGATACACGTTTAAACCAGGAGACACATCCGTGGTCAGTGATGCTGACCTTCTCCCACAGTCCGGTGGTGACATCTGCTGACGGATCAGAGCTGGTTTCTGTTCCTCGTGCTCGTCTTCCTCCTTCATTATGTTATTCTAATGATGTGTCTGTGCTCTGTGCTGTCTGTGTTCAAAGCTTGGAGATTATTTCAACGCCTACCCTGAAGACGTTCTGGCCATATTTGATAAAGTCCTTCACAAAAGAGCCACGGAGCTTTCAGATGATTCTTCTCCCAAACGCAAAGATCAGCGAATGAGACGAACTCTTCACGCCAGAATCACAGGTCAGAATCCAGCTGAAGTCCAGATGTTCAGAGGCAGCAATGGTTCTGTTTGTTGTTTAAGATGTCAGGAGGCTTCTGGGTTCAACTCTGAGCTTATCACAGGTGTTCACAGGTGTTAGTTTTAAATTAGTTTCCATCTTCGTCTCCTCTCTGCTCTGTGGAAACACCTGAGTTCACCTGAAGACCTTTGCTCACAGCTGAGTCCGACAGAATCAGAACCAGGAGGACAGGAAGGTTCTGGTTTTACAGAATCTGCTGCAAACGCTTTGTTTTTGGAGAATTTTAAACGAGACGTGTGGAATTAAATGATATAGATGAAATATAA